TTGTGATAATCTTGATCAGGACTTTATGAAATTATTGTATTTTCGATGATCTTTGACACGCTTTTAGGGCATCAATGCGATTGTAGTCGCGGATAAAAGCCTGTTAATAAATGCAAGAATTTCAAATTGCATGTCGGAAAAGTGTAAGTCAACTTATATTATTTGGTTTAGATAAGCGGTTAAATATATGCGGTAAGTTTTTTCTCCCTCAAAGAACTTTGAAGTTGAAAATACTTTTGTGGTAAATATGAATCACAAATATTAAAATTAAAGTTTGACCTTTTGAATCTAGGGCCTGCAGCTGGGCGTCTTTTAATTTAAAAGTTAGGAACGTTGTGTAATTAATGTTTTTAAGTAATGCAGGACTGAAGAGAATATGTAAAAAGTGTACTTCTATCATATTCAATCATTAAAATTATATTTTTTTATTTAACGTTATTTTTGGCTATTTGTAAATTTGATTCTTAGGTAATATACTTTTATTGGTGTCCAATTAAAGGTTTTTTTAACAATTTCATGAAAAGATTATGAAACTGTATAAAAAAAACTTCGATTTAGGACCAATAAAAGAATCTTACCTACCTAAAAATCAAGTAGCTAAAAATAAGCACAAGTAGTTTATTAATGATGTACGTAATTTTTTACTACCAAGTCACATGCAAAAAAAATCGGGTCTATTCCAAACATTTCCACATAAAAGTCTAATTTGCCTGGACTATTAGCAGATAGCATCTTAGTTACGTATTACGGTCAGTAACTGAACGGAATTGGTGGATTCGTCATAAAAACTCATTTTTGTCATGGAGAAGTGTTTGTATTTGCATGTAAACAAAGGACATGGCAATACTACCCAGAAACTCAACCTGTTCCATCTAATACCGGCTAAGAAAGTATACTAGAAATAAAAGATAACATTTTTTCAATAAATCAATTTTTATTTCGCACAGGAAAATTTATACCAGTACCTATTAGCATCTAGCAAGGAGGACTTAGGGATAGCTTTAAATAAAATGGAAGCGGTACTGACAGATCAGTACTGTATGAAAATAAATAAAAGTAAAACTAAAATACTGGTATGCAAGGGAANATCACAAATATTAAAATTAAAGTTTGACCTTTTGAATCTAGGGCCTGCAGCTGGGCGTCTTTTAATTTAAAAGTTAGGAACGTTGTGTAATTAATGTTTTTAAGTAATGCAGGACTGAAGATATAAACATGTAATTACTTACAAGCTTTTTTAAGTGCAGCATTATTTTTAACTACGTATTGTATTCCACGTACGTACATATACATATAGATATATATACACAACGGTTGCACATGGGCTGAAAAACAATCACAAACGTTACTATAAGTAATTTCAATTAAAGTTTATACATAATATTAAATCTGAAATTGTACATTGTCACTCATTGGATTCTGTCCAAAATGATCTACACACATAGGAGAATTTAAAGTGTCCAGTTTTAGCGTGAATGTTTATTTGCACATGGAGTCTTTGATGAACGACAAATTGACCTTCGCAGGCACAGTAAATACACAAATATTTTTAGATTTCTCAAATCTTCAAATTTTATTTTTCTGAAGCGGCATTATGTCTAAAAGATCTGTGGACTTCTCGAGCGCAAAATTATTGTATCTACTTAATAAAAATATTTAATTATCTAATTATATACGTTGAAAGCAGTTTAATTAGTTCTTGTTGACCTCCACGAGCACGTACAAGTTTGCAATATGTGTATCTATAAAAAAATGTTCATAGAATATTATCGCAGAGTCCCTCACTTCTTGTTGGTTAATCAGGCGTGCAATTTACAAGAATTTTTAAGAGTTGTAGTTCGACAGTAAAAAAAGGTTTATTAAGACCGCCATAAAACAACGCGATTGCGGTGGCGGTAGTGGCCGCAGTGGCGACCGCTATACCGATTGGAATCAAATTCACCACCGCTATTTGAATGGATTTCGTTTATATATTTTATGGAATTTGTAGCATTGAGAGAATGGAACGGGTTCTGTTTGTTAAGCTTTTTTAGAATTGGAAGATTTGTTATAGATTTCTTTTCGTTTTAAGTGATTATATGTTGAATACATATGTATATACATAAACTATTACTAGGAAATTCATTATATATAAAAGTACTACGACTACATATTTTAATATGTTTAGAAAAAAAAAAACAAAGAATAATATAAAATACTTTTACACCCCAGATGATATACCCAAATTGAGTAAAATTTTATGATTTTATACTTCTTCAATACTTCAATAAATAAATTGTTCGGTTACGCAGTGTTCAGCGATCAAAAGTAACACATTACGTTCAATTCTTGCGATCTTGAACCCCATAAATATGCACATTTAACAAATAATCTGATCACATAGCGTTGGTTTGTGCCGGACAGTGCATACAAGTAACCCAAAATAAAAACGATTGAGAGAAATATCCAGTATAACTGTATAACAGAGAACATGTACATAATGTATGAAGTATATGGTAACTAAAACAAACTAAAACTTTTCCGTGTTTTATCTAGCTACTAATGCTGGTGAAGGGTAGTCCCTTCGACTGTACTTTAGTGCAATGCCGGAGGCTAAGGCGGAAAGACCCTTCCTCCTAAGAGCTGAAGAGAGTCCTTCAGCCTCTAGTAGGAGAGTTAAGCATGAGATTTGTACGTTATCCTAAAGATGGAGAAATTTTATGATAACATGCTTGAATAATAAGCGGTGGTGGGGTTGTTACGTTTCTAAGCACGCGGACATCCCACTAGGAGCAAGGTGTGGGTACGAAAGAAAAAAGTGCCCTAATTTTGTTTTTAGTAATGTCATCGAGACACTGCTCAGAAATTTAAAGAAATGTGGACTTTACTAAACATAATCGAATTCCCGAACAGCAGATATGTGAGTTTTAACAAACGGGGCGACGGATCAGCTCAGAGGTCAAAAGAAATTAGTTGGTCTTCAAATGACGTCGTAGGCTAAGGTCAAAATCACGTTCTTGGCCACCAATTTATTTTCCCTTCGAAAATTACAACTATTGTTTAGAGTTTTAGGGAAATGAAATCATATCACTAATATACATAATTAGTAATTATTGTGTACGCCACCCTTGTCCGTCATCCTTTGTATTTCAACTCATGTGTTCTCCCTTCGGGAATGCAATTAAATGTACGTTTCTGTAAATTTTTGAACACTATATCGATGACGTAACTGGAAACATCCACTCTCTGTATCTACGGGCTGTCCAGTTGCTTAGAAACAACCCCCCCCCCGAACATGTTATTGTAAAATTTGTCTATATTAAAATCTCCAGCTTTTAAACTCCCCTTTTGGGAATCGTTGGAATGAGTGGGTGGTAGCTAGAGATGAGACAGATGAAATGAAGACAGAAAAGCAAATCGAGTCGGTGTCCTCCCAAATGATACAATGATGATCTAGGCTGTAAATCTCTGTTCCATGGCACTTGGTATACCTTACCAAAAAAATTTTCGGGTGTTTTATTGAAAACAACAAAAACAAATTGACTACGGCAGGCCGATTCGGAATCGAACGGGCGTCCTTCCGAATGTTAAGGAATGGTCTAAATGTCTAGGACAGTGGTTGGAAAATCGTGGTTCGCGAGCCACATGTGACTCTTAGGTCCTATGAGTGTAGCTCTATCGCAATTGACCACTTGCGAATAGTAATGGTTAAAATCGCGTCAACATCAGTCATCAGTCCCGAAACTAGTTGGAAATAAACTGATGATCTTTAGTTAAAGCGCATCAAGTATTACGTCGCTGCATACTAACGGATTGACAAAACTATATGATACTAAAGGGAGGGAAGCTGTAGAATGAGATAAGTGGTAAAAATTCTGTGAATAGAGAAGGGTAGAAATGATAAGGTTTTGGAAAGAGTAGGAGAACAAAGGGTGCTATGGAGGCCAATAAGGAAAAAGGAAGATAAGGTGATAAGAAGCCTTATTAAAAATGAGGAAACCCTAGGATAGATAACTGTTTAGGAATAGTTAAGGATGTGAGATGCTGTAGTTTTCGGAAAATTGGCTAGGTTCGGAGTAACGAAGAGGTGTCTAACTAAATCTTGGGATGATATGTCTTGATACCTTGGTTACCCTGTTTTGATTAACAATTTAGCTCTTTTATCTGGAAAGTTTGCTTATCTGTCCTCTAGGCTATGGCGCTCCATGTATTCGTTACAAAAATTGTCAAAAACATATATTTATGTACATCAGTTATTTGCCATATTTGTCATAAATTACCCTATACTCCCTGGATAATGTGTGTTATTATAGCTGCTCATTTGTACTCTTGAACTTCAGGTAATACAATTTGGGTTTCTGTTTCTAATAAATATGTAATCATATTCTTGGAATGTCAAATATAAATAACCGCTACGGACTTGTGTGAAATGTGGTTGCAATATTTACAACTTTTTGCTAAAATAGTATTAATTATCTATTATTCATACGTCGTGAGTGACTAAATAAGAATAAATTGACCATGATAACGATAATGTTTCAGGAAAGAGAATCTCTATTATACATTATCATATCCAGGAACATTGCATGATTAGAAACGATAAAGGAGAAGACAACAACTATTTAATTAACTGTGATTGCTATTGACCGTTATCTGAAACAAAAGTTCCAATCAGAGTTAAGAGTTGCTAGCGCTGTGTGGCTGTTTTATTTTCTATTTAATTTTTATCATTACGTACTATGAATGGAAACGAATAATTTAAAATAATAATAAAATCCGTATTTAAATATATACTTTTTTAAGTAGCTATTTTTCCCGTTTCGCCAACTTTCAAATTTTTACCTGTTTTAAGCCGATTCTCAACAACAAATTCCGAATTTGAAAAGTATTTTATACAATAAGACTTGAGTATACAATAACTATTTACTTGTAGCATTTTATATATACATAAGTGCTTACGTAAATATGTATAAACTAACATTTAATTTATTGTTTTTAGGTAAATGATCCACCATAATAATTCTCATACAGATGAGTTCTCAGATGATCAACGGAGAAACAGGTAGAATAATAAATATAAGACATTCGTGTTGACGTACTTTTCTTTTGTGCCGTTTCGTTGACTTGGTTTGTCAACTTCATTAGACAAATGTTACCTAATCGTGGAAACACTTGTCGATATTATTTATGGTTATTTTTTAAAAAACAGGCGACAACTTTTTTTGTCTTTTATTCATCCGTATTTTTAAGAGAATAATGCTAACTTGCCTGTCTAGCACTATGAGTGGTTATTTTTTAAAGAACAAACGCGACAATTCTTTTTTTGCGAAAAAAAAAAGAACGAGAATTGCTCATGATTTTTTTTTATTTGGTCATTTATTCAACCGTATTTTCAACAGGGTAATGCTAACTTGTGTCAACTTAGCACATGAATGGTTATTTTATAAAAAAAAAAACGCGACAATTTTTTTAGCGAAAAAAAGTGGCAGTTGTTCACGTTTTTACTTGGTCCTTTACTCAACCGTAGGTAGCTTGCTCATCAACTTAGCACTATGAATGGTTATTTTTTAAAAACCAAGCGCGACAATTTTTTTAAGGACAAATAGCGACAATTTTTTTTATTTGGTCCTTTATTCAATTATATTTTTATGAAAGTAATGCTAACTTACGTGTCTGCTTAGCACTGAGTGGTTATTTTTTTAAAATAAAACACGACAAAAATTTTTTTAGAGACAAAAAGCGGCAATTATTCAGCAATTTTTTTTTTATTTGGTCCTTTATTCAACTGTAGCTAATTTGCCCTTAAACTTAGCACTACGAATGGTAATTTTTTAAAAGCCAAGCGCGACAATTTTAGGGATAAAAAAGCGACAATTCTTAACAATTTCTTTTTAATTTGGTCCTTTATTCAATTGTATTTCTACGAAGGTAATGCTAACTTGCGTGTCTACTTAGCACTGAGTGGTTATTTTTTAAAAATCAAAAACAATAAAAATTTTTTTAGAGACAAAAGGCGACAATTGTTCACTAATTTTTTTTATTTGGTCCTTTATTCAATTGTATTTTTAAGAAGGTAATGTTAACTTGCATGCCAACTAAGCACTATGAGTGGTTATTTGTTAAAAAACAAACGCGATAAAATAGCGACAATTGTCTACGCAATTATTGTGCAACCAAACAAAATTTTTACTTTTACAAGTGGTTATTACGTTAGAAATGTGTTTAACGTTTCCCCCTTGTAGATTACAGGTTATTTTCAGTAATATTAATGAATCGTAAGTAGAGCTACCTAACTTAATAAAATTTGCATTTGTTAAATGCTCTAGGAAAGCGAAAAAGGATTTCTTTTCGTGTTCCGTATTGATTATAGCGAGTGTAAGAACGCAATTTCAGAAAGAGAATTAATATTTTATTTGACGTTAAGATCGTTTTGTTTGTATTTACAGACAAATACCAAGTACTGTCGGATCAGCGGAGAGCTGCTTAATCGCCTTTAGTATCAGTTATATGCTATTTTTTATTTGTAATGAGTCATCGCATTCTTTTTTGCCAAAACGTATTTTATTTATTTCGGTAGATTTTTTCAAACAATAATTGTTTTTGGTGGCCTTGTTTTATGAACCTGTTTACTATTAATAAATTATAACGATTCAGAAGAAGTATTAGTAGAATAGACGTGGCCTTTAACAGATGTTGATTTTTTCATGTGTAAAATCAATTATTGTGGAAAAAGTTACTTTTCCCGTTCAGTTTGGGCAGAGTGGTATTTGTAACAGCCGGCCTTAGAATATTCAAGAAAATTCGAACGCGTATAGCTTGAAAGAACATAATTTATTCAACTGGAAATATGCCAGGCCATATAAATTATTGTACGATATTTCGGTATTGCAATATTTTCTCTTGAACGGGGTTTCCACTCAATTCCATCGTACACAATGAAAATTTTGTACGATTTCATCAACTGAAGAATTTTCCTGCTATCATACGTCCATTCCGATAGCAGTGTCGTTAAATAAAATTTATTCGCAATTTTAATTAAATCGGATTATATGCATTCACTCACGTCTGATAAGGTAGAAGAAAAACTAATGTGAGTTTCATAAAAAATGCTTTCTCGAAGTTTCTGCGTTTATGTATTTTAAGTTATTTTAGAAATTAGATGCTTTTAAATTAAATGAAAATTATTTCGTAATGGTTCAAGTAGCTCATGCTGTCGATGTTATTTGCCATCCTTATAAGAAATATTGACACCTTTTATCTTTTTTAACCTCATTCAGGAGACATTGATAAGATAAAGTAATATAAAATGTGTATTTATGTAATTATATTGGCATAATCTCAACATCTAACATTTATTTCTACAATCTACTCAACTTCGCCTTGTTTGTGCGTAATTAATAGACCCAGCTTTTTTGATAAGATATTTTTTTCACGTTTCATACATTACCTTAAAGGAAATTTTGCATTTATTTACTAAAGACATTTCATTCTACTCTTCTATAGAAGACAAATAGAAAATGGTATAAAATAATATATATATCCCATATATTATTATCCTCTGTCTCCCCTTGATACGAATCTTTTTTCTTTCTTCACGTATGTACTATTTTCTTCATTCGGTTCAGGCCATTGCCTCTCTCGCTTATCATATCACTACATTCTTCCCAATCCTTACTTTCATCACGATTTACCAATACAGCGCCAATGTTTCGTCTCTACTATTGGGATCCGTCAAATGGGCATACACCATCTGGTGGCAAAATTTATAACTCGAATGAGGGAAAAATTTACATAGGAACTGTGCACGCAAATTGTAAAATTGTTTATTAAAATAATAAAACACGTTAAAAAAGTAAAAATTTTTTTGATGATGGAGTCGACGAAGTTTTCTTCTAAAGTTAAATCAAATAAAAAGTTAATATGTTCAGTGAAAAGCTGCAATAGCACTTCAGACATAGATCTTCACTCTTCACCTACATTAACTACTTTCCAATAAAAACTAACCGTTTTATATATGTAAAAAATATATTCGGAAAATTAGAGAAAAAAGTAAACTAATAGAAGCTTGGATGAAAGCAGTAGGTATCAAAGAAGTGAATTCCGGAATAAAAATTTGTTCACGTCATTTTAATGCACATGATTATATTTCAGCAAGTATTTACCATCAGCCATAACCTTAATATTTAAAACTAGAATCATACTAAAATTATAAAGTGAGAAATTATTTATTCCTGTGTAATTGATTTAACACAATTCTAATGATACGATATAAGTATTTTGAGGTTAAGAACCTACCTGCTGCAATACAACAAAGTTGCAATAATGTGTTTGCAACGTTCTCTTAAATCGGCTTTGCACGTGCAAGTCATTGATATGATATTGCTTAAATCACCCAGAATCACCTCACCAATTATATAACGTGAATCACTTTTTAAATCCGAAGTTTGTAAAAAGTAGGCAGTAAACTTGACGGAATTTGAAGGCTAGCTTCCGGATTTGTTATTTCCGAATTTTATAATGTGATTGGCATTAAAAACACGCTCACCTTCAACGAAATTTCCTTTCCGAGGCTTTGTGTCAGCCCAATCACATATTGTGTCAATACTTATCATTTTATCGTAATTTAAAAACTTGGAAATTGCACGGTACACTATAGGAACTACGATAATTTTTCCCTAATCGGCGCCATGTTTTTAGGCTCCTCCCATTTGACGGATCCCAATTCTACATTTTTTTTTACAACTTTTCATCCAATATTTACATCCTCTATATTTATATTCCATTCTGAATCTTTCTGTTAGATCTATGTCTTTTATTCCTTTCAAATATCATGACGCACAATCCCCTTGCTAATGCTCCCACATCCAAACCTTTATACATACCTTGATTTATCAATATTCCCCAGATCCTCCCCTTTTATCATTACACTACACCTAACCCTCACCACCTCACCTACACTCATACCATCTTTCCCTATTTATTTAAGAGCTCTTGATCTCATTTCAGTATCCTTAATGCCTCCTGTCTTTCCTTCTCATACCTTTTTATTGATAATGATAAATATATAAATAATATANATAAAATTAATGAAGATTTATCGGGAAAAAGCTATTTCTTTTGTGTCCACTTTTGAGATAAAAAATCTATTATTCTACTATTGCATTGATATTTTGAGAAATGGAACCTGTTCTATAGTTATTAATACTGATCGAATAAAAAGGTGAGCAACAATTAACTTATTAATAAAAAAAATACTGAATACCAAATGGTAGTTATTTATTGATCTGTTATCATCTGTACTTACAGAGAATATGTAGGAATTGTACTTCTATGATTTTTAAACATTAAAATGATATTTTTTGATTATTTAACTTTATTGTTGGTTTTAGGTAAGCCACTTTTATAAATGATGACGACAGAAGAACACTTCCTACATATTCTCTGTAAACATAGATTATAACAGATCCAAAATTAACATTTGGCAGCATTACGAAATTATCAAATTTTGTTTATTAAGAAATTAACTGTTGTTTACTTATTTATTCGATCGCGATAAAATTTTAGCAGGATTAACAACTACAAAAAAGGCATTCTCCCAAAATTTCTAAAAATGGACATGAAAGAAATCGCCTTTCCTTAAATAAATCTTCAATTATAGAAGAAAATTTATCACTTGAAAAATCGGACCCCGTTACCCTTACGAAAAAGTGATTCTAAAAAACCTTCTCATTTAACTTTTTAAAAACAGTTATAAAAGAAAAATGACCTTAAATTGTTTATAAACAAAATTCTTCACATTTGTGTGTGCGCAGAAGTTTATTAATGATGTACGTAATTTTTTGCTAATTAACATGCAAAAATCAGGTCTTGTTCAAACTTTTCCCAAAAATAGCGATTTTTCACCTAATTCGGCTGGACTATAAGGTAAAAAATGATTTACATACACTAATTGTAAGTGTCGAAGTTATTTTTTGCTAATTAACATGCAAAAATCAGGTCTTGTTCAAACTTTTCCCAAAAATAGCGATTTTTCACCTAATTCGCCTGGACTATAAGGTAAAA